CTCTCATGATCTGCCTAAGAAGAAGAAGACGTCTCAGAGCGGCTTACAGTCTCCTTTCCCTCCCCCTCCCCACACCCTGTGAGGTAGGTGGGGCTGAGAGAGCTCTTTCCAGAACTGCTTCTGAGAGAACAGCTCCAAAGGAACTTGTGACTGACCCAAGGTCACACCAGCAGATGCACGTGAAGGAGTGGGGAATCAAACCCAGCTCTCCCAGATTAGAGTCCGCGCTCCTAACCACAACACCAAATCGGCTCTTCAGTAGAAGATGGCCTGTTCCTGTCCTCTTTCGTCTGCACCTACCTGGTTCCTGCCATTTTCTCTCCCCCCCCTCCGGAGGTTATTTCCTCTCACCTGCAGAAAGCTGCTGCCAGGCGCAAACCTTGTAAACCGTCCCCGGGCTGCAGGCCCAGAAGAGACCCAAGGAGGCCACGCTGCCCATCACCAGCACCAGGGCCATCAGGACGAAGACGGACGCTGCCTTGAAGGACGGGATGGGCGTCAGGGTCACCAGGGATCCCTCGCACTTCAGGGCCCCGTCCCGCTCCACGCAGACCTGGTAGAGGCCGAAGGACCCCACGGCGCTCACGCTGGGGTCGGAGAGGACCCCCGACAGGGGCAGCTGGTAGGTGAGCGGCCCGGTCTGCACCCACGCCGGCTGGATCAGCACCACGACCTCCAGGATGCCGAAGCAGAGGGTGCAGCCGGCCCACAGGGCGCCCACCGCCCTGGCGTTGCGCACAAAGTCGGTCTGGTAGAGGGCGGCCGCTTCCCGGGCTGCCAACATGGCCAGCTTCTCCTCCAAGAGGACTGCTTGCACTCGAGACACCCCCCCTGCTCAGAGGGAGAATAGCAAACGCGTCTGTGTTTCCAGAAATGGTCTCCAGGTTCCTCTCTCTCTCTCTCTCTCTCTCTCTAGGGCAAGGAGGTTGCACGGTTTTCCTCCCTCCAAAATCCAGCGGCACCCTCCTTTCCCCCCTTCCCTGTTATTCCCTTTTCAGATCCTGGCTATACTTCTCAGCTGGCCAAGGTCACCATTCTTTCACCCCAGCAGCTCCGATCGTCCACTTCTCCTCCTAGGGGAGGCCGGCAGAGTTGGCCGGAAGGCCGCCGAAGCGCTCTGCAGTTCTGCACCCTTCT